CTTGATAGCTATAAAGGGCCTTAAAAAGTTCACGGGCCAGGAGGATAGGGGGTGGATGCAATCATTTAGCCTAACTCGTTAAGAGGCCCATGTTCCCGGATCATAATGCCTGGGTTCCATACCTACCTCCACTTCCTGACTTCAGCTTCTTGGTAGTGAAGACCATAGGAGACAGCAGTGATGGCTCAAGTAATTGATTTCCTGCCAACCACCTGGATTGAGTTCCTAGCTCCCTGCTTCAGCCTGTCCCAGTCCCAGCCATTACTAGCATTTGGGAGAGTGAACCAATGATTAGGAGATTCTCATTCTCTCTCTCTCTGACCTCTCTCTCTCTCTCCTCTCTCTCCCTCGCCAAATAAATAGATGAGCTAATAAATTAATCCTTAGAAGTTCATGGAAAACACATATTATGATAAAACTATGCATGAAGTTCTAAAACATCTTGAACCAAAATAAGCTCATCTTGTAATTCTACTTTTCATGAACTTTTTTTTTTTTTTTTTTTGACAGGCAGAGTGGACAGTGAGAGAGAGAGACGGAGAGAAAGGTCTTACTTTGCCGCTGGTTCACCCTCCAATGGCAGCCGTGGCCGGCGCACCACACTGATCCGATGGCAGGAGCCAGGTACTTCTCCTGGTCTCCCATGGGGTGCAGGGCCCAAGCACTTGGGCCATCCTCCACTGCACTCCCGGGCCACAGCAGAGAGCTGGCCTGGAAGAGGGGCAACCGGGACAGAATCCGGCGCCCCGACCGGGACTAGAACCCGGTGTGCTGGTGCTGCAAGGTGGAGGATTAGCCTAGTGAGCCGTGGCGCTGGCTATTTAATGAACTTTTAAAATACTTTTTATTGTACTTTGATATTTGTAAAAAGTATTATATTTAATAGCTAGCTTTAAAATCTTTTAAAATCCTTTTCTTCATTTCTAGAGTTTGTTTGGTGGTTAATTATTGTCATATTAGTTTGGAATGGGCAAAACTCAGTTTCTGTAAGACTGTCAACTTGGATGTGGTTTAAAAACTTTGTAAACACTGCATAAGATAAGAGAGCATTTAGTATGCCCATTTGGGTCTCTTAAAGTCTCGTTGTTATCACAAAGTGAAGAGGAAGTCTGGTGTTAGCTGTGCATGGATTGTGTTTCTCCATAAGCCCTAATGGCTATTTCCATTTTATCAGAGCTGTTGCAATCATCAAATATTTCTTAGAAAACAAGTTCTGATAACTTCATTTGGGAGTAAACCAAGTTTTCATGACCTTTCCAACAGCAGAAAGGATATTAATTTTTTTTACTTTGGAATTTAGAAAAAAATAATTGGAAATACTTAGAGTGACCTCTATCCTTAGAATACCATTTAGCAGAATTATACAATAAGCTCAGGAAAGAAAAATGTTTCAGGAGTTAGAAAAGTTGATATGATCATTTCAGCTGTAATATATGTTAAGGTTTATTTAAGTAGTTCTAGTTTTCTCTGCGAAATCTGAGCTCTTTGGGTGAAATGTGAGGTTTCTGTGATGAATCTTTCATGGAGGCATCCATAGAGCAAATATTCTATATGGCAGTCTGGACATTTTCAGATTTCAGAATAAGTGAAAGAACACCTTGAGGAAGTTTGGTTTTCCATTGGTTAAATATCTTGAAGTGTTAACTAATAATTTGATTATTAGTGAAAAAACATGAATTGAGACTTCAGAAAACATAGTGAAATCCATACTATTTAAACAAAATCATCTCTGAAGACATGTCATTCTCAACAAATGAGTTGGTAGTAGAAGAATTCTGTCTTCTTCTACCTCATTTTATGGTGCAATGTAACCTCTTTGTTTTTAAAGTTAGCTCTGCATTTTATCCAACCATATTCTATGACATTAAAGATTGCAGATTAGTAAATGCATGTAACAACATTACGAATCCTGATTCTGTATTTCCAATTGCTATGTCAGTAACAAAAATTAGCATGCTAGTTAACTGCTAACCTGAGACTCCAGGGTATTGATAGAAACAGGATACAAAGAAACAGATACAAAGGATTTATACTGAATTATACAATGCTTTCCAGAGGAATAGGAATGGTTTTAGAATTTTACATCTCTCTCTCTCTCTCTCTCTCTCTCTTTTTTTTTTTACAGGCAGAGTGGACAGTGAGAGAGACAGAGAGAAAGGTCTTCCTTTTGCCGTTGGTTCACCCTCCAATGGCCGCCAAGGCCAGTGCACCGCACTGATCTGATGGCAGGAGCCAGGTGCTTCTCCTGGTCTCCCATGGGGTGCAGGGCCCAAGCACTTGGGCCATCCTCCACTGCACTCCCTGGCCACAGCAGAGAGCTGGACTGGAAGAGGGGCAACCGGGATAGAATCCGGCGCCCCAACCGGGACTAGAACCCGGTGTGCTGGCACCGCTAGGCAGAGGATTAGCCTATTGTGCCACGGCGCTGGCCGTACATATCTCTTTTTGATTGACCTGGTTTGTCTTATTTTTGTATTGCTGAGAATAAGAGCTTTTATATTTTTTAGTTAAAAATTAGATTAACATTTACATCTCTTATTATAGTATTGAGGACTACATCCATGCCACATAGAAACATAGACTTCCATATTATTGTGGTTGCTTATAAATATATTTAACAATGCACACATTACATTCCCAGGAGTTAAAAGTAATTTTTGAGTTTTTGAGATCAAATTCATAGGCTTCCCTGGGAAGAAATCCATTGTGGTCTTTGAATATGATGTGTCTGTTGTTAAGAATCTAAGCTTGAGAAAAAGCTGTGTGTCTCTTCTAACTAGCTATGAAATAATTAGGGAGTTACAAGGAAACGTTGCCATAATTATCATTCTGATAGTACTCACATTAAAATGAACATAATTGCCTCATCATTGTTTATAAATGTTTATAACTTATAAAGTCTTCCTATTTTTTAAAGATTTATTTATTTATTTGAAAGAGTTAAAGAGAGAGAGAAGGAGAGACAGAGCGAGAGAGAGGTCTTCCATCCGCTGGTTCAATCCTCAGTTGGCTGCAATGGCCAGAGCTGCACTGATCCAAAGCCAGGAGCCAGGAGCTTCTTCCGGGTCTCCCACGTGGGTTCAGGGGCCCAAGGACTTGACCCAGTGGAGCTGCTGGGTCTCGAACCAGCATCCATATGGAATGGCGGCACTGCAATGGTGGCTTTACCTGCTACGCCACAGTGCTGGCTACAAGCCTTCCTACTTTTAAAAAAGCCTTTAAGTGTCTTATAGTAAAAAACAAATTCATGCATGTGCATTCATCTAGGCAATTCAAAATTATTCTGAAAATGTTTGATCAGAAACCAGCTGGAGAATGAGTAGAAATGGAATTCTGATCAAGCTGAGAACTGCTGTTTAACACCATAAGGGTGCAACACTGCTATCATATTGTAAACTGAAATTTGATGGCAGGTAAACAAAATGGGAAATGAACATTATGGAACTTTTTGTCTTCTAAAAAGAGGCTTCGCAAGGCAGATATTTGGTGCAACCACTGAAGTGGTCATGTGTAATGACTGCATCCCGTATCAGATTCCCTAGGTTCAAGTCCTGCCTGGTTCTCCCAATCCAGCTTCTTGCTGTTGCACACCCTGGTAGGCAGCAAGTAGTGGCTCAAGTAGTTGGATCCTGCCACTCGTGTGAGAGGACTGGATTAAGTTCCTGTCTTTAGGTTTAGGCCTGGCCCAACCCTGCTTTTTAGGGCATTTGGGGAGTGAATGAAAGGATGAAGAATCTCTCTGTCTCTGTCTCAGTCCTTCAAATAAAATGAAAATATTTAAAAAAAATTTTAAGGTAAAATCAGTATAGTCTAAGAAGAGTTTGTCACTGGATACTTCTGTAATACTGAAAATCTGAAAAACTTAGTCCCACAAAATTGCACAAGATTCTACATATGCTGATGGAGCGGTATTTTCTTGTGTAAAGATTTTACATACATTGCCATTGCCGGCAACGCAGCTCACTATGCGGCGCCGGCACCCAGGGTTCTAGTCCCAGTCGGGGCGCCGGATTCTGTCCTGGTTGCCTCCCTTCCAGGCCAGCTCTCTGCTGTGGCCCAGGAGTACAGTGGAGGATGGCCCAAGTACTTGGGCCCTGCACCCCATGAGAGACCAGGATAAGTACCTGGCTCCTGGCTTCGGATCCACGCAGCGTGACGGCCACAATGCACCGGCCATAGCGGTCCCTTGGGGGGTGAACCAATGGAAAAAGGAAAACCTTTCTCTCTGTCTCTCTCTCTCTCTCACTGTCTAACTCTGCCTGTCAAAATAAAAATAAATAAATAAATAAATAAATAAATACGTTGCCATTAATTTAGCTTCCAGACTTCCTTCATTCGATACCATTCCCTTGTGGTGACTTCACTTCCTTCCCTGCAAGTTAAATCAGTATACATTTATTAGCTTTGAAGAATTCTTAGAGGTCCTGAAGGTAGAGAACTAGTTTGGAAATAAGGAGACTCCTTCTCAAGGCATAAAGTTGACCTGTGCTGGGAAAATAAATGAAACACGCCCTTTCTACACTTCTTTCTACAGAGCAGAGTTGGCAAATTTTCTGCAAAGGGACGCAGAATAAATATTTTAGGTTCTACAAGGTTGTATGTGTCTGCTACAGCTACTGCACTGTTTTATTACAATGGAAAAGCAAATGGACATGGCTGTTTTCCAACAAAATTTTATTTATGAACAATAAAATTTGAATTTCCTGTAGCTTCTCATATGCCAAAACATTTTTCCATTGGTTTTTATCAGCAGCGGTAAACATGAAAACCATTTTCATTGCATGTGCCCTACAAATGCAGGTGTTAGGCTGGACTGCTGACATAGAGTTCAAGTATCTGTCACTCATCGGAGGGCCCTTCCTTTGTTATATGGTGGATCATAACTTTCAATATTTTCACCACTGAGATACTTTTCATTCATTTATCATGCATAGAATCTAGGCACAACCATATCCACTCCACATAATCTATAACCTTTTATTTTCTTTTTCTTTTGTTAGATTAATGATTTTTCATCTCTGCGGCTGCAAAATCACTTTTGACCTAAGTCACATAAAAGAAGTTTACAAAGAAGTCAAAATATTTCATGACGTTTCTGATATTGCCTGCTATCGTCTTGTGAAAACAGAATTTCTATCAACAAAGACTTTGAAAATTACTTAGTTAAGTGAACCCCAGATTTTTTACAATTAAAGTCGGAAACTTTTTTAGCTTAGTTGAAAATAGATAATCATGAAATAATTGCATGTGAAAATAACACATCTTTATATGTTAAACACTTCCCTTATCCCTCCAACCTTCAATTCAGGATGGAGCAAAAAAGCACAGATTTTTAAGTATTGGTATTTTCTTGCTTGTTTGCATCATCCATTTGTAATATATTTAATTTCTTATCTGAGATTATTAATGTACATACTGCAATTTATTTTCAGACACTGAGAGAACAGTATCATGAAAGAAGGACAAGCCACTTAATTCTAGAAGGATTATCTACTCTTTTATATCCCATAAATATTTGGTTGTATAAACAGTGGCATTATATGCATAACGTCAATGCCCAATGCAGTGCTGATATCTGCAGTACTTATGCCAAGGCATTGAGATGGTTTTTAGATAACCAATATAGCACATAAATCCTTTCTCAAACTGCAGACGCCACAGCACACTTAGACTACAGTATCTCCAGAGAATATTTCATGCCAAGGAAGCAGTTATGCATTGCCTTAGCTTGTGAGAATTCATATGCATGTGGAAGATTACGGAAGAAAAGGCAGAACTGGGGAGAGGAGGATAAGCCACAGTGCAACACTGGCAACAAGTACCACCACCCAGGGAGGAGGATTGACTGTCTCAGTTCTACTGAAGATTTTATAAGTCAAGTTCTTCTACATAGAGCGCAAGGAAGTATCTGTTGTACTATACAATGTGCAAGGACTAATTCCACAGAGGATACTGTCGCTCCCCCTCTTCGTGGAGGAACGACACAGGACCCTGCCTAGGCTTCATATCCGAGTCACGGCACCATTATGTCGCTCCCCCTCTTCGTGGAGGAGCGACACTAGACCCTGCCTAGGTTTCCTATCCAAGTCACGGCACCATTATGTCGCTCCCCCTCTTCGTGGAGGAACGACATAGGACCCTGCGCTGTTCTTTCTGTCTGCTCGGCCCTCCCCGGGTTTGCTGCTGGTTCTTCCCGGGTTGGCTACTATCCCTTCCACCTCCGTGGAAGGGCAGTTCCCCCTGGCCACATTCCCCACTTCCGCAGGGGAGCGGCACACCGCCGGCCGGCTCTCTCGGGGGCTGCACAGGTGTTCCCCTTAGATGTTCCCCATAGATGTTCCTGGTGCATGCCGTCTCTCTCCTCCTTTATAGTCCTCCTCTGCCAATCCCAACTCGGCTGCCCACACGCCGAGTACGCTGCTCTCCTCCAATCAGGAGCAAGTCCTACAGTTTATTGGCTGAACTGGAGGCAGCTGCGTAGAAGCTGTTTTCTCCTCTCCCAGCGCCATATTGTGGGAGAGCAGATGCATAGAATAAGTCTTAATTCCAGTAACTCAGTCTAGTCCGGTTTGCTCCCCACAGATACCAGTTGTCGGGCATCTATGGCTCTCTCTACACATAGGCAAACAAATCCTAAAAGCCAGAAAGCAGCAAAGACAAGGGCTGGCTGTTGGGTTGAAATGCACAGGGGCTCTGAGGGGATGGGGCAGAGCAAGACACCGTCTGCTACGTGCCCAGTGGAAGGAAATGTGTAGCAAAAACTGGAATTGGGTTGTCAATTCAGGCTGTTTGAATCTTAGTCCTATAAATTCTGTGATTGTAGTCATATAACTCACCTGCAACTTAGTTTTCTTGTCTCTAAAATTGGGAAATCTATTTCATGAAGAGTGTCTAAAGGGTTGAACAGAATGATGGTTAAGTTTTGAAGGGATCTGGGGCAGAGAGAACAGTATGAAGAAAATATGAAGTCTTCAAAGAGTACTAAGTGTTTGGGAAACAGTATGACACAGACAGAAAGTATGGGGTAGAAATGGGGTCCCATGGGAACTATTAAAAGAGAGACCTATGGGGTCCCATGGGAACTGTTAAAAGAGAGAACTATGGGGCCGGCGCTGTGGCAGGTTAACGCCCTGGCTTGAAGTGCTGGCATCCCATATGGGCGCCAGTTCGAGTCCCGGCTGCTCCTCTTCCAATCCAGCTCTCTGCTATGGCCTGGGAAAGCAGCAGAAGATGGCCCAAGTTCTTGGGCCCCTGCACCCGCGTGGGAGACCTGGAGGAAGCTTTTGGCTCTTGGCTTCGCATTGGCACAGCTCCAGCCATTGTGAACAACTGGGGAGTGAACCAGTGGACGGAAGACCTCTCTCTCTTTCTCACTGCCTCTCCTCTCTCTGTGTGTAACTCCTTCAAATAAATAAATAAATCTTAAAAAAAAAAAAAAAAAAAAAAAAAAAAAAAGCCGGTGCGGCAGCACACTAGGCTAATCCTCACTAGGCTAATCCTCCACCTGCGGTGCCAGTACCCCGGGTTCTAGTCCCGGTTGGGGCGCCAAATTCTGTCCCAGTTGGGGCGCCGAATTCTGTCCCGGTTGCTCCTCTTCAGTCCAGCTCTCTGCTGTGGCCCAGGAGTACAGTGGAGGATGGCCCAAGTGCTTGGGCCCTGCACCCACATGGGAGACCAGGAGGAAGCACCTGGCTCCTGGCTTTGGATGGGTGCAGCGCCAGCCGTGGTGGCCATTTGGGGGGTGAACCAACAGAAGGAAGACCTTTTTCTCTGTGTCTCTCTCTCACTGTCTAACTCTGCCTGTCAAAAAAGTAAAATAAAATAAAATAAAATAAAATAAAAAGACCTAATCTCTTTTAGGAAAACCAGGGGAGTGGTAAGAATTTGAGGACTAGGCCGGCGCCGCGGCTCACTAGGCTAATCCTCTGCCTTGTGGCTCCGGCACAACGGGTTCTAGTCCTGGTCAGGGCGCTGGATTCTGTCCTGGTTGCCCCTCTTCCAGGCCAGCTCTCTGCTGTGGCCAGGGAGTGCAGTGGAGGATGGCCCAAGTGTTTGGGCCCTGCACCCCATGGGAGACCAGGATAAGTACCTGGCTCCTGCTATTGGATCAGCGCGGTGCGGCGGCCGCAGCGCGCCAGCCGTGGCGGCCATTGGAGGGTGAACCAACGGCAAAGGAAGACCTTTCTCTCTGTCTCTCTCTCTCACTGTCCACTCTGCCTGTCAAAAAAAACAAACAAACAAACAAAAAAAAGAATTTGAGGACTAAAGAATCGGGGAGGATATCTGGTGGACTGAGCTGAAGTGGGAAATACAACTCCCTGCTTTAAACATGCAGATATGTAGAAAAAATAAAAGGGTGTATTATGAAGCCAAACTCAAAATAAGAAAGGTGTGGTAGATTAAAATGGTCTCAAATTCTTTATTATTCCTCCCATTACAAGACAAATTACCCTCCCTGTGAGTCTGGGTTAGCCTTAGTGACTTGCTTGACTGATAGAAAATGGCAAAAGTAACTTTCTGGGACTTCTGAGGTTAAGAAGCCTTTTAGCTTTGACCCGCTGCTCCATGAATATCCACAAACAGCCCTTGTGCCACCCTTTAAGGGCCCAAATGAGAGACCATGTGAAGAAGCCAGAGACCATATAGAAAATGAGGGTTGGATTAAAATTGAAAATGCATCAAAGATAATTTGTCAGATCAGCAGAATAAAAGAGTAAAAACAGAAGCATCTAAGTCATTGCTGGGAGCCTTTAACAGCTGAAAACTCCACTGATAATAAATGTTCTCAGCAATGGGAAACTGGGAACTTCCTAACACCACTAAAGAACATCCAAAACCATCACAATTAATCGTGAAAGAGAATGATTTCCCTCTGTGATTAGGAGCAAAGCAAGACTACTGTTTTTTTTTTTTTTTTTTTTTTTTTAAGATTTATTTATTTGAATCCACCACATTGATACACAGTGAGAGAAGGAGAGGCAGAGAGAGGGAGAGAGGTCTTCCTTCCGCTGATTCATTTCCCAATTGACCACAGTGGCTGGAGCTGCACCGATCGAAGCCAGGAGCCAGGAGCTTCCTCTGGGTCTTCCCATGTGGATGCAGGGACCCAAAGACTTGGGCCATCTTGTACTACTTTCCTAGGCCATAGCAGAGAGCTGGATCAGAAGTGGAGCAGTCGGGACTCAAACTGGCGCCCATATGGGTGCTGGCACTGCAGGCGGCAGCTTTACCCACTATGCCACAGCATTGGCCCCAGGGCTACCTGTTCTTAATACTGCCATTCTACATTGTACTGGAAGTCCAAACCAGTGCAATGAAGTAAAAAGTAAGACATAGGTACTCTAAATGAAGAAGTAAAACTGTTTATTTTCCACACAACATGATTGTGTATGAAAAAATCTATTTCTTTGAAACAGCCACTGATACCAGTAAATGAGTTTAGCAAGATCTCAGGATAATAGTTTCTCCACTATACTACAGTAAATTTAATTTTATAAACTAACAATGAGTAATTGAAAATTAAAATTAAAATCACATTGTCTTGTACAATAGCATTAAAAATCAGATATTTTTAGAGATAAATTTAACAGGATATGTGAAAGACCTATAAATCACAATCTATACAATAATATTGAGAAAAATTAAAGAAGGCTTAAATAAATTAAGATGATATATTCCATGATCACTGATAGGCAGCCTCAACATTGATAAGGTATGAATTCTCCCAAAATGATCTTTAAGAACTAACACGGTCACAATGTCATCAGGACTTATTTTTGTGTAAACAACAAAATTTATCTTAAAATTTAGTGGCAAAACTTAGATCCAAAAATATCTAAAACAACTTTGAAAAAGAATAGCAAGTTTGAAGGATTGATACTACTTGGTTTTAAGATTTGTATTCAATTTATTATAAAACAATGTAACAGAGGGCACATAGTATTGGATAAAGGACAGATCAATCAATAGCAAGGAATGGAGAGCCCAGAAAGAGACCCACATATTTATGGCCATTTTATTTGTCACAAAGGTGATTCAGTGGGGAGATGACAGGTTTTTTTCAAGTAGTGCTGGAAGAACTAGATATCCATACAGATGAAACATAACTTCAACTGTCAACTCACCCAGTACACAAAATGGTCATACATACAGTAATAAATGATAAATCAATAGTATTTCTAGAAGAAAACATTAGGGATAGCTCTGCAAATCTGGATGGTCCAAAGCATATTAAATGGATCATGAGCAGGAAGAAATGAACTGCATTTCCTCTGCTCTCACACCAAAATCAACACAAAAGACCCATGTTACAGCAGAATTTATGAACAGAGTTGACACACCAAGGCCTTTTAATAGGAAACAATATTATTATTATTGTTGTTATTATTATTATTGTTATTATTGGGCTCAGTTGGATTCATATCCAAAGAGGCTGAGGCCCGAACAAAGAGGGGGTATTTTCTCATATATATTTTTAGTTCCTTTGTTCCCCCATATATGGTTACAAGCATACACTTAACTGGATATTCTAATGTTACATGGTGGCTATAGGAATTGATACAGTACTGCACATGGATATGTAGTTACTGATAATGTTTAACTACTTTTTCTTATTATATCTAATATTTCTTCCATACACATACTAAGACACTGTCTGGCAAGGGTTAACACTATGGCTCTGTGTTACCAAACAGAAGCTAAAACAGTTACAGGCAAGCAGATAATGATCACACTCTAGTCCCAGGTTAAGTTTTTTTTCTTCTTTTATCTTTATTTTGAGAAGGCCTCTATCACAATGTGACCTCGAAAGATCTGAGTATTTATCACCACCAATAAGCAAACAACCCATTCTGCAGCAGTGACCAGTGGGGCATCCTTTAATCCATTCAGTTGTGACACTGTGTACCAGTAAGTAGTGTCAGAGCCCACAGTTTGAGGACTCAGCCTCCAGCACTGCCCCTACTTCAGATCCAGTTGCAAGTCCAGGTTTCTGAAACTTATGATTGCCCAGCTTTAAACTGGAGTTACTATGTGGACATGTAAAATTATACAACTTGGAAAACAGGTAGTAACTTAGAAATTTACCAGATACTTACCATATGACCCAGAAATGTCATTACTCAGAAGGAACCAAGGAGGAATGAACACGTAGGTTCCTTCACACAAATACTTGTACAGCAATAGTCATAATAGTTTCATTCATAATAGCCTGAACTTGGAAATAA